TTCAAATGCTTCTTCTGAACTTTTTACTTCTATTTCTGTACATCCATGAACATACATATTTCTATTTCCATCTTCACGTATAATTTTACTCTGTAAAGTTCTGAATTTTTTGATGTTTTAATAAATTTATATATTATATAATATAATATAATATAATATTTCATATAATTTCTTAAAATATATACTTACTTTGTCTTCCCTTCATTCTCATCTAATAAATCATATACACTATTATTATAAATTTCAATATATGTTACAAAAACTGCATATGCATTATCTTCATCAATAACTAATGTTTGAGATTCATTACTTAAATTTAAGATATTTTCATTGCTAAAATTATTTCCATCTATTTTACACCTTTGAAAAGTATACAAAATATTAAAACATCACAGTAAATATGATAATATTTAAATTTATACTTACATTTTAGGAGTTTTTCCATTGTAAAAAGTAACAAATCTTTGAAGTTCATTTTGTCTATCTAACAATGCATCAGCTTCACTTTGTATATCAAAACCATTTAATTTATCAGGTTTAAAAACAAATTTCTTTGTTTGACAATTTGCTATACTGTTAAAAATAACATCTAAACTACGAGGCATGATACCTGCATCATGTGTACCAGACATGGTATAAGTTTTACCACTTCCAGTTACTCCATATGTGAAGAGTAAACTATTTTTGCCATTAAGAAGATTTTGAACAAGTGGTAAAGCTACAATATTAAATACTTCTCTTTGAGAAGTATTGGGACCAAAAACGTGACTAAAACACGTTTGAATAGCTTTGTTTACATTACGAACATTTGTTATTGATTCTGATGGAGTAATAACCAAGGCTGTATCAGAAATAATTTTCATACAAGATATATCATTAGAGTGAACTATTGGTCTTAAACGGCAAAAAACTCTAACAGGCTCTTTAGATGTATCATTGTCACATTTTGTCCGGTTTCCGTGCTTTCGTGTTGCAACAGGTGGTTTTATATTTCTAATTGAAATCAAATAATATAAATTTTTTATTGAAAATTGTATCTTCACACAACAGTTTAAATTATTAAAAAATTAAAATAAAAATTAAAGTAAAATACAATACGAAATTGCAATAAATTTATTAAAAGTATTGAAAACTTACGCAGATTTCATTATAAAACCAATTAATGAACACGAAAGAAATAAATAAAATTTATTTTATACAATTATCTAAAAATTGTTTATAATTAATTTAACATTCTATTTATCGTAAAATTCGTTGCTTATGATCACACAATACATGTTTAAAATTCAAACATAAAGTGAAGTCAGCAGATAAGCATTTAAATCACTTATAGCGAGTTTTCATTTATCGATAGAAACATTGAAGATTACACATATGGATTAAAATTTTTTATGAATCGCTCGAACATTGAAAAGAGGAAATTAGGATTTTGTTAGGGAAAATTAAATCATTTGTAAAATTTAAAAAAATAAAAATGTATATAATTTATTTAATTAAAATTATATTGAACAAAAAATTTGTTTACTAACAACTGAATTATTGCTTTATATTATATGTTTATATTATTTCTTTGGTACAATATTTTCTTTTAAATGCGTACCATCACAGAATGGTCGATTTGATGTTTGTTTACAATTACAAAGCCAATAATCTTTGGTTTCTTTAACAGTAAAACGTATAGGTTTTTGTTTAATTTGAAGAAATTGATTTCTATGAGTGCCATCGCAAAATGGTTGTCTGTTACTTCTACCACATAAACACCATGAATATATTTTACCTGCTATACAAGTATATTTGAAGGGTTTATGATCATATATAACACCATTAGTAACTTGATCATTTGCACTATAATATTGTTTTAATGGATTTGTAGGAATTTCCATATCATCTTCTACTTTCTTACAATAACACCTAATCTGAAATATAATTAATATTTGCATTATGAAAAAAAAGAAATTTTGTTTTGTATTAATATATTTGATTTACTTCTTTACTTATAGTAATTTATTAACTTATTTGTTAATTTTTATTGTTAAGAATATATTTTAAGAGACGAAAGATTAAAGTTACTATAAAAGAATAGGTTAAGAATGTTATAATAATAATAAAAATGTAAATGTAAAAAATATATTATAATAATTTAAACTGGATTCAATTTATTTTTAACTTACGTTTCGATGTTTCGAAATAAAATGTATAAATTGTCGAATTTCCTTTAAATTTAAATACATAATTGATACTTGATATTATGATCGTATCCTTAACAAGAACAAGTTACCAATATATTTTTATAGGGATGTTTTATTACATTATATATACCAATTTTTAATACATTTTTAATAAATACATACGATAAACTGTAAAATTTAAATATTATATATTTCATATATTGCATATGTTAATATGTAATATTCAATTTCTTTCATAATTCAATAAAATTCAGAAGAACTTATCAATTTTATACTTATGATTATTTTTTAATGCATTCATATTTTGTGAAAATATAAAAAAAAATATCTGTATGATATACAAAACGTATGATAAACGTATGATAAAAAAATATATAAAATATATATATACGATATATAGAAAAAATAATTTATACATTATACAATTATATAATATATATATATATATATATACACATTCTTCGTTTATATTTGTATACATACAAATTTCTTTATGATATTTCTCAAACAATTATTCGTTAATATTATAAAATTTTTATTTTTTTTTTATAAAGTTTTAAATGAATAATTTTATCGATAAATTGAGAAATTTGGATTAGCATTCTCTTGCGTTTAGATATCCGAAGCTTTGATTTGTTATTAGTATAATAGAATATAAAAGGAGGTATTTGATATCAGAAACAAGGAAAACACAAGAAAGATAAAGAATATTTCTTCCTACTTTGAAGATATTTCATGAAAATTTAATTACTTGTTTTTTATTCAAAATTTTAGATAAGTTTCTCATATCAATTTTAATATAAAATTCCTTATTAATTATTTATTAATGATTAACGCATTTTATTTCTAATGCATCGAAGATATATGAGTTGAAAGTGCAAAAATTTTGATTAGGAAACGAATAATTAATAAATTTTCTTTCTGGAATTTCGAAGCGGAAGAAGACTTTTTATCTTTCTCGTAATTTGTTTTTGATATCGAATATTTTCTTTCATATTCTGTTATAATAATGACAAATCAAAGTTTCGAGTATTTAAACGCGAGATAGCGCTAATCAAAATTTTTCAATAGTCACCTAACTTATCGATAAAATTTATTCATTTAAAAGTTTATAAAAAAAAGAAATAGCAAAAATTTTATAATCTGAATGAACAGTTGTTTGAGAAGTATCATAAACAAATCTGTATTCAACTAAAAATGAAAGATATAAAAATAGAAAAATATATTTAAAGTATATTGTAAAGTAAAAGTATGAAGATAGTAACAAAGTAGTACGTCTAAAATTTACATGCAATATAGAAATAGAAATATAATGTATATTTAGAAAAACTAATTTATTTTGTCTTTGAAAAAATGATCTTATTTTTATTATTTAAACGATGGTATTGATTATCAATTTTTATATATAGTATTTTCCTTATAATTTTTATTCTATTTTGTTATTTGTCTAATCTATTTTTTATTTTTTTATTACTTTTATTATTTTATATTCTAATTTTATATTCTATTTTGTTTTTCGTCTAATCTCGTCTTAATCGTCTAATTCATAACTATTTTTTTATTCGATCTATTTGATTTTATTATATTTTACTTCATTTTGTGAAAATAATAAAAATAAATAGATTAGAAAAAAATAAAATAAAATATGATAAAGAAATTAAATATTTATTTTATAATTAAGATATATATAGAAATTTTTATGTTTAAAATTATTTAGGTTATTTATTATATATTATACTAAATTTTTCTAGTTTAAGTTAGATAATGTATTTTTCATTTCATTGTTCTGCATTATATATCACAATATGATATCTCTATTAAGATTGTAGTTATGTTTAATTTTTGTAGTAATTACATTAATTTTTCATAAAAATTTTTTTATGCTATTGAAGAATAATTCGTATATAACATTAAACAGAAAATATTATCAATATTTATTTAAAATATTTTTATTATATTGAAACTATTAAAATTTAAATTTAAATTTACATTTTAAAATCCATAGATTAAATAAAAGTAGATACATATATCAAATATATATGTTATATATCATAAAATTAAATTTTTAAATTCTAAAGAAATGAAAATATAATTAAATTTTTTCACATTTCAGAATCATTATACAATGATATGTCTAAAAAAATAATAAAATATATGTGGAAATAAAAAAATCTGGTTTGTTCATGCAGTTGATTCATACTATAGAATTCAGTTAGAAAATCATGAAGTACTGAAATACAACGCGCATGGCAAACAATTACACTTAACAACCGTTTATCTACGAAACGTCAAACGTTGCTGACAGAAAGATTGATATATATTAAAAAGAAGGCTGTCAGGTTATCGAATTCTCTTCTCTCTTTCTCTTTTTCTTTTCGCTATTTCTTCTTGTTTTTTTAAATGTTTAAATCTAGCAACTTCATCACTGAGAAAGATACAAGAATTGAACTTGTTTTAAAAAGTAAGTAATTCTTTAAGCTTTGAATTCGCATATTTCAGGTGTATCTTAAGGAATCTTAAGGAATCAATTTTTTACTTAATAAATTTTGCTTCATTTTAATATTGCCTTTGAGACAAGGATATGTATAGAAATCTATGTTTATCTGAATTTATTGATATTTTATAATAAATTAGAAAGAAAACAAATTTTAGTTAAATTAATTAGTTTGATATTATTAGTTTTCAAGCGATGCAATATTTTTTCTCAATGAAATTAATAATAAAAAAAAAAAAAAAGAAAGAAAAAATTATCATCCTTCTATATATAGAAAATTATAAGAATTTTTTCTAATTAATTACGCCCGCAATAACTTTCTCCGATAGAAAGACAGATTCTTCGAAGTTTCCATTCTTTTTCAGACACTTGAAAAGTTTTAATCAAATGCATGCCGTCTCTGTTGGCGTTTCCCTTTGACCAACGCGACCAGATGAGGAGGCGAGCTTTTCTACACAGTGACACAGGTGAATGGCCGACAGGTGAAAAGCCGAGAGTTTGAATAAAGCACGAGCTGAATTACGGGAGAATGAGCGATCCAACGTCGAGAGCTTGTAGGGAGCGTTATATCGCTCAGAAGAGGCGGAAGATAACTGTGCCCAAGAAGAAAACTCTGAAGGAGTATTTCGAGTATATTTCTGCAAAATAATAAACATTGTTTTATAACATTTTACGGTTTAGATTAAATATCAAAGATTTTGCATTTTAATTTAATAAAGAGATCGGTTTGTTTTAAATCAATTATACTCATCACATAGATATAATTCATTTAAATGTCGGAAAAATAGAAAAGTTGTTACATTTTTTTCTAAATAATTTAGGACGCAGTACTATTTTACCAAAGGGCATGAATACATGGGAGAAGCCAGAAATGTTCTCGAGGAGCAATCTCCTTTCATTTATCCTCCTTGTTCCCTCATGTTCGCTTACTTTCAATATTGGAAAGCGAAACAACGTACTACGAATAAGGAAAAAAGGACGCTTTTCAACAGGAAAGCTTTACACCAGCTTTTACGATCTCTTCGTGTAAGCTATTCTTTAACGTGCGAAACACAGTCTGTAATATCTTTACTTTACAATTAAAAAAAGAAGGGTATTCCAAAAAAATGTCGGATCTCAATCAGTTAGATTAACAAATGAAAAATTTGAATCCAACTTTTGGATTGCTCGATTTCGAGAAGAATTTCCTTAGATCGAAAATTGTACGATTGTACTTGTCACTTTTGCCAAGGTGGACGTGGACATCGAAGCGTTGGAGGCAAAAAAGCACAAAGATTTGGACGAAGCTATAGCCATCACCGATGTGGATCCACGTTACTTTTCGGAATTGGATGCCAGGCTGGTGAGAGAAAAGTTCTCCGTACGCAAGTATGTGGAGGATTGTCGTGAAATTTTAAAGTGTCGGCTGTTGGCTGGCCAGCAAATGGACGATTGCATTCGTATAGATCAACAATTCGTCGAGGAGCAAAAAAGACTCGATAAGATCAAGGTTTGTTTCGAAATTTAAAATAAGAAATTTTCCCTCGCTCTCATCATTACTCTTTCACGCATTCGTTTATATTTTTTCCAATCCAGCGACGATATCGTCGATACATAAGCGGTTTCGAGGAATTTCTCTCGAAGGACCACGAGGAGAGTATGAACAGTCTACTACTCGCTGAAAACGAGTCGAAGAAAACTAGAGAGATGACGGATCACAGGAATAAGCTTTCTGTCGAATACGGCCGGGTTAGATTGGAAGTATATCACTGGGAAGAGAGCTGGAGAATGATGAAGATGTGTCAACGATTCCTCTATCAGGTAGCTCCGATTTCATGGCGCACAGAGCACGATTGGATCCATCGCACTGATTCCGGAGAGAGCATCACTTACGACCATGCCGAGGATTTATTCGGACGATACAGAATGCTGGGTGACGTTGCTTCCCTCGACGCCCTTATAGGTGATCGTATCAAATATCTATCTTTTATCTCTCCTTCATTCAATTCGACCTGTGGAAAAATTTTATGTTAGAGCTCGCTTACACACCGTCTTCACGCGAAATTATTATTTCGCCTTTCTATAATAGTGTCATTGATATATTAAAAATATTTCTTATTTGTGAGTATTCTCTCTCTCTCTCTCT